ATATACGACAGATTACTTGCATAATAAAATAAGTTAGAAAAAGGCAAGGCAAACACCTGTGTGAAATGAAAAATGAGAAGAGTTTTGTTGTCCATGCCTCAGTCATCTCTGTGGGTTCTTCTTTCTTTCCCTGTCCTTTTTCTTTAAGCTTTACTGAGATATCATCTACACAGCCTCAAATTCACCCACCGAACTGCACAACTCAATGATTTTTTAGTCCATTTATAGAGCTGTGCTCTAAATTAGCACAGTGCAGTTTGGGCATTTCCATCCCCCGCATGTCTCCCTGTGCTTGTCTGCAGTCAATCCTCTCTCCTACCCCTAGCCTCAGGCAACCATGGATCTGCTTTCTGTCTCCTTAAGTGTGCCTTTTGGGGGCAATTTCATATAAATGTAATCATATGAGATCTTTTGGGTCTGGCTTCTTTCACTTAGATAATGTTTCTGAGGTTCGACCATTCTGTAGAATTTATTGGTAGTTTGTTCCTTTCTTTGCAGAATGATGTTTATTAGCAGCTATTGATATAATTGTGTTAAAAATCAAATGGCCATAATATTAACAATTTACTTCTGGATTTTTAGGTTGTTGCAGTGGTCCGTATGTCCACACCTGTACTAATACTATATTGTCTTGATTGACGTGACTTTATGGTAATTTTTGAAACGACAGTCATCCAACTTGGCTTTTCTTTTTCAAAGCTGTCTTGGCTACAGTTTTTTTTTTTTTGCATTTCCATATAAATTTCCATATAAATTTTTGCATTTCCATAGAAGTTTTAGGAGAAGCTTGTCAATTTCTCCAAAAAGCACACTGACATTTTGATTGCTTTGAATTATAAGATCAATTTGGAGTAAATCTGCCATCTTTTCAGTCTTTTTCTGATTTCGTTTTGTACAGTGTCCACTGTTGTATCTTCAAGTTCACTAATTTTTTCTTTTGTAATGTCTAATCTCCTTATCCCATCTAGTATATTTTTCATCTCAGACATTATAGTTTTTGTCTCCAGAAGTTTGATTTTGGTTTTATTTATGTTGTCCTTGACTTAATATGTTCAAGCTTTCCTCTAGCTTTTTGAACATATGGAATAAATGTATAATTTTTAATTGTCTCAATGTCCCGTCTACTCATTTTATCATTTGTGTGATTTCTGGGTTGGTTTTGATGACAGAGTTTTCTCCTCATTATTGGTTTTATTATCCTGCATCTCTGCATGCCTGGTAATTAAAAAGACCAGATCCCAGACCTTGTGAATTCTACCTTGTTAGGTGCTGGATTTTTAAAAGTCCTTAAAAAAAAAATTATATATATATGTAAATATATATATATTTATAAATATAAATTAAATATATATATATTTTTTTTTTGAGAGGGAGAGAGAGTGAGTGTATGTGAAAGGGGGTGGCAGGGCAGAGGAAAACGGAGAGAGTCTTAAGCAGGCCCCATGTCCAGAGTGGAGCCTGACACGGGGCTCAACGCAGGGCTCAATCTCACAATCCTGAGATCATGACCTGAGCTGGAATCAAGAGTTGGATGCTTAACTGACTGAGCCACCCAGACACCCCTAAAAGGTCTTTAAATATTTTCAACCTTTGTCTGGGTTGGTTACATGGAGACAATTTAATTCTTTTGGGTCTTGTACCTTAAGAGACAAGAGCAAAGTTTAGGGCTTATTTTGGCTGCTACTGAGACAAAACACTTATGAGTATTTTACTTGACACCCCATGAATCATGAGGTTTTCTATTCTTGCTGGTGGGAAGAGAAATTGGCCCTGTGCGAACTTTGCAGATTGTTCCCCATTATCTTTCCAGGTGGTTTTCCCTGGCCTTGGTTTGTGCGCGTGTGCGCGCGCGCACACACACACACCCTGAGTGGGACCCTGTGCACATCCCTGCAGTTCCTTGTGGCTCTCTCTCTTCTTTGGTCCTGGGCCCTGAGACCTCGAGTTGCCCTGGCTTTCCTGGACTCCCAGCTCCATGGGCTCAACTGAGGGAAACCACTGGTTCCTTTTGGACTCCCTCTCCACGCAGCATGGTCTGGATAATTTTGAAAACTATACTTCAATGTACTTTCATTTTTTTTGTTTGTTTCAGGTCTTCTAATGTTGGAGGAAGTACTTCTGCAGGTTAGAATAAAGTGAAAAAGCCTTGTCAAGTTCTCTGCATACAGAAGTCGTAAGACACATGAAAGTGGCCTTCAAAAGGTTCAGACAATAATGTAATTAAACTATGAATTTATAATCCTTTTCTTCCCCATACAGATAGTGTCAGCGATATAAACCAGCCAAAGATGACTTCATTGTCTTGAGGACAAAGGAAGTGATGTGACATAATTTTGAGTAAAAGATCTTAGAAAATTCTGGTGCTGTCTGACACAAGTCTCCCTGGGTAACTTAATTTAATAGTCAAAGGATTTTAGCACCTGTTGCCACCAGAATGAAAGTCTAAATTGATTTGGCTGTCAAAGTTGATAAGCATATTGCTATGTAAAAAAAAAATCTCTATGTATCCTCAGCATTTTATTCAAGTCAAATAGCAGTCTTCTCATGGAAATTCATTTTTAGGCAGACTTATAATTTACTTTTTCTTTCATTTAGAAAATGAAGGGATTTATTTCAATTTTTTCCCCAGGAATCTGCCATTAATTTTGCATCAAAGTTTGATTAAACATCGTGGATTAATCAAATGTGTTTTATTGCCACTACCCATCAGAATCTGAAAGTGACAGAAGTAAAATTTAAAAGGACATCATCACCTAGGACAAAGAGAATGGAAGAGAGACAATGCAAACAAAAGATTAAAAAAGAAAAACCTTCTGGAAACCAGGAAGTTCCTGACACTGCAGAGGACGAGCTTTCAACTTAAGCAGCTAAGAGTGCGGACACCACTGAGAAGCCGAGACGCTTTGTAAAGATGGGTCATCCCCCTATAAACTATCAAAAACCAAGTCTCCAACATAATGAAAAAACTGTATGCACATTTTGAGTTAGTGTACTTCAACCCATCGTCTGAAGTGGATTTTCATAAGATTCTTACAGGGATCCATGACAGAAAGTAAGGAAGTTAAGAGAATGTACCCTGCAGACAAAATGCAAAAAAATTTAGAATCAGACAGGTCTTTCTGGATCCTGATTAATCATCTTAGCTATCAGTGAGTGATAAGCCTCCAACCATTTAACCACTAGTGGCAAGAGAGGGGTCCGGAGCCCCGATCTCCTGACTCCCATCAGCGTACTGGAACACCGGGGCCGTTATGTATGCTTATGAGGTGCAATCCCCGTACCTGATCCTGGATACTGGAAGACATTCTGCTGCATCTGAGGATTGATTCCAGTGCCAAACTGTCCTCCCATGTTTCCTGCCATGCCTCTGTTCACCATGCTGTTGCGGTTGGCCAAGGTTGACTCAGGATTTGCTGCCAGTTGTGAAAACGGGCTGGTTGAAGCAGGTGGGGTTCCTGGATTTGTACCATAGTTTGGGGGGTAGGGAAATTGCTGCGGAGCACCCTGAGGAAGACGGGGGTTCCCCATTTGAACTGGCAGTCCAGATGAGGGAGGGAGGTTGTTCCCAAAGCTTTGTTGCCTCATGAGCATGGCTCTTTGCTGCTGTATTAGCTGCCTCTGTCGGTGCTGTTGGCTGTACAACTCCCGCTGGCGCTGTGCCAACATCTGGGCATTCAGGGGTGGCTGGAGAGGAGAAAACAAATCCTCACTTATTAATATTGTTATCATCACCACCTACTTTGGAAAGCTTACAGGATAAAGCCTCGTAGCTTGGGGCAACAAAATATGTAGCAATTATCACTATGACTTCGAACTTCTCTGACGTTAGGTTGTTAGGAGACTTTTTTTCTTTTTCATTTCCCCAAAATTGACTGTGTTTCTTAGTTCCCTTCTTTTCTTACTGAGATCATTTGTTCCACTTTACTTAAATGAACAAAATGTGATTATAGTTGATTTTAATTTTCTTCATCATACTTTCCTGTATTTTCCAAATTATTTATAATGAAAATGCTTTATCTTTACAATTGGAAAACCCTACAAATACCATTTGAAAAAGGAAGAATCAGAAATCCAGGATCCAAAGGCAAACAAATTGTTATTTAAAAAGAAAATAGGGGCGCCTGGGTGGCTCAGTCGTTAAGCATCTGCCTTCGGCTCAGGTCATGATCCCAGGGTTCTGGGATCGAGCCCCGCGTCGGGCTCCCTGCTTAGCGGGAAGCCTGCTTCTCCCTCTCCCACTCCCCCTGCTTGTGTTCCCTCTCTCGCTGTGTCTCTCTCTGTCAAATAAATAAATAAAATCTAAAAAAAGAAAAAAAGAAAAAGAAAAAGAAAATAGAATAAAATAATAAACAGAAATAAATGGAACCAGCTATTAAAAAAAAAGATTTATTTATTTTAGAGAGAAAGCATGAGCAGGGGGAGGGGCAGAGGGAGAGGGAAAGAGAGGGAGAGAAGCAGACTCCCCACTAAGCACGGAGCCAGACATGGGGCTCGATCCCACAACCCTGAGATCATGACCTGAGTCAGATGCTTAACCAACTGAGCTACCTGGGGGGCCCCACCAACTATTTTATAACATTGTTGCAGTAAAGACTACTCCAGGTGTTAGAGTATGTTTTAATAGCTATAATACTAGGAATGACAAAAGCAGCAGTAAAATTAGGTTAAAATCACTTTTTGATCTAACTTGTAAAGCAACATGGCATGTCAATAAAGCCTTCCTCAGAAAATTTCAATTCAGATTGAGGATCTGATCAAAGCATATAGTTCCTTCAAAATTAAACTTGCCAACTAGATATAGTCCAATCTAGAAGAAACTGTGACATATGACTTTCTAATAGAAATCATCTTTACGTGAATTCCAAAAGTGGGGTCTTATTTCCTTATAACCTAATTACCCTTGCATGAGCTAATCACTGAGATTTTTAAGACATGGAAACCCAAGTATGAATCCATGAAGATGCCAGTATCTGCTGCTTAACAGCAGTTTCTTTTCTTTTCTTTTCTTTTTAGAGAGAGCAAGAGGGGAAGGAGCAAAGGGAGAGGAAGAGAAAACCAAGCAGACTCCATGCTGATAGTGGAGCCAACAGGGGGCTTGATCCCAAGACCCTGAGAACATGACCTGAGCTGAAACCAAGAGCTGGATGCTTAACTGACTGAGCCACCCAGGTGCCCCCATTAACAGTAGTTTCTGTCAATATTTACCCTTTTGGTTACGGTTGGCTTCCTGTTTTTGCCCCAAATCCATCTAGATACATTTTATGGAGAAAAGTTTTGTGTGTGAGTCCTGTCTAAAATTCCTCATCTCTCAAATTTTTGTGTCACCTTGGTTAAGAAAACATAAAAAAGTGGTTGAAACAAAAATACTAAAGTATGTGTGGAAGTTAAGTAGGGAGTGAGTACCAGACAAGACTTAGAAGGCTATCTAGTTCTTTTTGTGTTTAAAGTTTCAATGGCCCTGGTTTCATGCACAAGGATTGTTAAAATAAATAAAAAACAGAAACTGCTCATGCTCAGACTGAGGCAGAGAACACAAGGTAGTTAAGATCACTCAGCAATGTGACTGAGTTTTGATCAGGTTTCAGGTACCATTCACACAGTTTCTTATCTAGGAGTCTTATTACTGGCCCTATTCAGGATAGCAATAAGAGTGTTCTACTGATTCATCTGGTATCTAATAGCAATGACAACAACACCAATAAAACCAAACAAAGGACTCTTGGCTTTAGATCAAATATCAGTAAGGGGTATCACAAATTGATTATAAATTCATTCTACAAGAAAGCTGTACTACTACCTTAAAAGATCAATTCACAGATCATTTCGGACACTCAAGTCAACACTTTAAGAAACACAGCTTGGGTTAGAGAAGTACTAACAATGTCTGGTCTTCTCACATTACCTGAGGTGTAATTTGCTGCTGCATGCCTGATCTCATATTGATGCCAACTGGAGCATTTGCTGCAAACTGGTTCAAGATAGCTTGCCGATTTTGGTGGATCAACTAGAGAAAAATGGAACAATGAGATATCATATTTCTACATACAAACATATACTTTGGCCCTTACAGAGTAACACAAGCTTTTTATTGATTACTAACAAGTTTTAGTATTACAGGTTTAGTAAGATTATTTCCCATGTTTATCTGTCAAAAGGCTGGCAATTCCTAACATTTATCAAATATTTCCTGCCTATAGCACACCAAATAGGACAGAGCATTTAAAAGCAGAATCCATACACATGTGCATATATATATGCACATAGGTATATACACACATACATACATATATTGTACTTTTATTTTTTATTTTTTTAAGTAGGCTCCACGCCCAGTGTGGACCCCAATGTGAGGCTTGAACCCACAACCCTAAGATTAAGACCTGAGCTGCAATCAAGAGTTGGATGCTTAACCGACTGAGCCACCCAGGCACCCCCATCTATCACACTTTTAAAATCATGCTAATACTTAGTTATTTCAGATAAGTACAATAATGGAGAGAAAAGAAACACCAGCCCTACAACTTAAACTACTCTGAGTATAAAAGTAGGTACGTAATAGAGCACATTCTACAAAGGTCTGGAAGATTAATGGAAAAGTTGAGGTACTTCTCACTTGGAGGCTGACTGTCGGATGGGTACATATTTGGGGAAATCCAACATGATTTCATTCGTTGGGGAGAATTATGTAAGAAACAAATGGTTTGAGAAAATAGACTATTTATTTAACTAGAAGAAGTAATTACTTTAGACCAGCATTTCCCAAATTGGTGTTCTAAAGAACACTGTTCTGCAGGATATTAATAGATGTGCCAGGAAAATAGCATGCTGTGCTGTATTAAGTATTGGAAATGATGGGTTACACAAGGTGAAACAGATTTCTTTACTGCAGTAATTCTATGAGACTTTAATTGGCCAAAGCACACTGTGGATCTTCAAGAAGGGGATATACTATGCAACTTGTTTTCACGAACCTTTTTTTTTTTTGCCCCGACACACATTAACATTTATCTCCTAGAACAATTTTGTATGGAACACTAGTTTGGAAGATGCTGTCTGTATCAGGCTTAGAATTTCAGGGCATTGGCATGCCTTAGCTTCATCAGGTAACAAAACAAGCATCCTGGGAAGTGATATTTCCTGATAAACAATCTATAGCTTAAAGAATTTCTTGCTCAATCATTTGATGTGAATAAACTGTTCAGAGAGATAATAACAATATCAATCCTATTTTGTATTTATATGGTACTTTATAACATAAATTACTAATAAATATATTAACACTCCATATATTTTAATATATTTTATATTTTAATACATTTAATATATTTTAATATATGAGATGCAAACTAGAAAGACTGTGAAAGTTTTATAAAAGAATCCAAATTGCTGTGAGCAGTGATTAAATCTCCCATCTCCAAACAGCTCAATTCTTAATTCTGGTTTCATTAATTTTCTGACTCCCATCAGATCAGAAAACAAACTGTTTTTTGGGGAAAAGCTCATTTTACTATAAATGTAAAAATTAAAACTTTCAGGCATTCATGGAATAGGATAGAACATTCAGAATCGCTTAAAAAATAAAGATATGAACATTATGGTTTTAAAAGTCAAAGGGACTCTTGGGGCGCCTGGGTGGCTCAGTCAGTTAAGGGTCTGCCTTCAGCTCAGGTCCCGATCCCAGGGTCCTGGGATCAAGCTCCATGTTGGGCTCCCTGCTCAGCGGGGAGCCTGCTTCTCCCTCTCCCTCTGCCTCTCCCCCCGGCTCATGCTCACGCTCTTTCAAATAAATAAAATCTTAAAAAAAAAAAAAAAAAAGATAAGTCAAAGGGACTCTTAAGTACAAAAATCTACGTACTTCTTAAATTCTACAGACCACAGACATAAGTTTAAATAAACCATTAATTTTACAAAGATTTATCAAAAAATTAAGTATATGCAAGGTAATACATAAGGTTTGAAGGCTACAGAGGTGAGCAAATCTCTGTCCTCCAGGAATTCTCTGTTGAGTGGCAGAGGCCAATACAGAAGGGCGCCACCTACGAGTGCTACACTTGCATATCCAGACATCTACGAGGCACTTAGCCAAGAGCAGGAAGGCAGGGACCAAGAGTATGAGTGCACTCAATGGGACCTTGAAAGATGAGAATGCCAGGTGGCAAGAAGGATGGTAGAGTTAACTTAAGGCAGAAAGTACAGCAAGTCTAGAAACAGAAGACGAGGCAATGAGGATAGGGGAAAATACATTAATCTCAGTGACGAAGAGAAGTAACATAGCCAGGGGAGTGAGTGGGAGTTGGGTTTCCAAACTTACAGCTTTATATATTCTTTGATTGTGAGATAACGTGAGAATGAAATGGGTGGGGATGGAGGAAAGATGCTGGAGAAGTAGTAAAAATGAGAAAATAACCTTAGGAAATAAATTACAACCTTAGAAAATAGCCTATTTAGGCTATTTTTAGAAGTAGAAGAAATTATTCTAAAGCACTTTCTGTTAAAGAAAAATTTATCTATTTCTGCTCTTGAAATAATTCTTTTCATTTCCCCCTTCTCCTCTGTGTACAACCTGACTAATGCTGTATAATACAGCTGTCTCACTCTAACCTGCCTCTTCTCTCTGATCACTAAAATGCTACTCATTATCTAGCAAGCAGGTCAAGTTCTATTCTTCCTAGGAAGTCTTCCCAAAAGGATCACCATATCCTTTAACTCCTTGGAAATCTTGACTTCTGGTCAGTGGGAGGAGAGAGAGAGGTCAGGAGTCCTCAGAGCTGGGGACATAAATTCAAAAGTCTATAAAGGCCAGGTCAAAAGGCTTGTATTATAAAAGGAAATGTGGGGCTTGTGGCCAGTGAACAGTACAAACTCAGCCTACACATATAAAACACACACATACCCAGAGTTCGGGCTGGCTGACATTTTGTCTGTCTGAATGGATTTTTTTTCAATGCCTTATCAAGAAGTCCTTGATAGGACTGATAGGAAACATCAGTCCAAGATAGGAAACCTAAAAGATGATTATCTAGCCTAGAGGTTCTCAACCAGGGATGATTCTGCCCCACAAGAGAAATTTAGCAATGTCTGAAGACACTTTTGGCTGCACAACTTGGGGAAAGGTTGCTACTGGCATCCAATGGGTAAAGGTCAGGGATGCTGTTAAACATTCTTAAATGAATGGGAAAGCCCCCTATAACTAGAATTGTCTGTCCCAAAATGGCAATAGTGCCAAGACTGAAAACCCTAATTTAGCCACCGTGTAAATTCTTGACAAGGAGTTCTTTTATTTATATATACTTTTAATGATTTTATTTTATTTGAGAGAGAGAGAGAATGAGAGAGAGAGAGTATGAGAGGGGGGAGGGTCAGAGGGAGAAGCAGACTCCCCACCGAGCAGGGAGGCCGATGTGGGACTCGATCCGGGGACTCCAGGATCACGACCTGAGCCGAAGGCAGTCGCTTAACTGACCGAGCCACCCAGGAGCCCCTCTTTTATTTATTTTTTAAGATTTTATTTATTTACTAGAGAGAGAGAGAGAGAGCGTGCGTGCGCGGAGGGAGAGGGCGAGAGAATCTGAGCGCAGAGCCCGACATGGGGCTTGATCCCATGACTTTGAGATCATGACCTGAGCCAAAACCAAGAGTCAGATGCATAACCGACTGAGCCACCCAGGCACCCCGACAAGGGATTTATTTTATTTTTTTAAATTTATTTATTATTTATTTATTTAAAAAAGATTTTATTTGACAGAGAGAGAGACAGCGAGAGAGTGAACACAAGTAGGGGAAGTGGGAAAGGAAGAAGCAGGCTTCCCGCTGAGCATGGAGCCTGATGCGGGGCTCGATCCCAGGACCCTGGGATCATGACCTGAGCCGAAGGCAGCCGCTTAACTGACTGAGCCACCCAGGCCCCCCAAGGGGTTTCTTTTAAAGAAGATATTCTTCTATCAGGCAGTTTTCATTGCCAGAAATTCTAGAGGTGAAATTAGCTTCCTTGTATCTTCTGCCCTTTGATCTTAGTTCTACTTTCTGGTCACTTCTATTTTCTCTAATATATAAAAAATAATCAATAGTGGTTCTTCTACCAGATCCACACATTTCTCTAGTACTCTAACACATAACACATGTGGACTTCACTTGTTTTAAGATGGCTAAGTATATCACATTTCTTTATGTGTCTCCAATGTTACTCTCCCTTTTCATAGTATTCTTTTCTTGAGAGTATGAAGACCCTGGCTGGAAAAGAAGAATACAAAACTAGAACAGAATAATTACATCTTTTATGAGCCAATCTTACATAATTTCCTACAAGCAGCAGGTCTACCCATTTTTGCTGTTGTCCTTTTCTCAAAATAGAACTTTAAGAATTCTTTACTGGTATCATGGATATATTTTTTTGAGACTTTGCTTATTTGACATGTGAGCAGACACTACACCTAAAGACTTCATTACAACTGTATTTCTTCTTCATCACCAGCTCCCTCCTTCATTTTTGCTGTTCTTTAAAAGTTTCAACCAATGAATCTCTGTGTTTCCTAGGGTGTTTTTCCTCCCCCTGTCCCCCAACTGGGGATTATTCATAACTGTATAATCAAATTTAAAATCTTAGAATCTTTTTACTCCTTGTTTACTACATTCCAGTCAATGAGATATACTTACAGTCAAGAATATGCTTTTAAACTGATCTTAAAATCCATTAAAAAGAAAGAAACTATGATGTAGATCTGAGTTTGCACCTTTTTTCCCCCAAATCATCAGGCACTGTCCTAAATTCCTGCCTATGAGATGCTTGTACTTCCTGTGTTTGGCAAGAGGGAAGGAGGAATGAGAGGACCTGACCAACAAGTAAACAGATGGTATTAATCTAGCAAGGTAAGTGTATTATGAACACAACGTTATGAATCTGATGTATTCTGGATACTAATCCTTGTCAGTTATACAGGGTTGCAAATATCTTCCCTGAGTCTATGTTTAACCTTGTTTATGTTGTCTTTTATCTTATTAAGTTTTAAATTTTAATGCAAACATCAATCTTTTCCCCTTATGCCTTTTAGGGGCCACATAAATCTTTTCATATTCACATTTAGATCATTAAAATACCTAGAATTTATTTTTGTGGATGGTATGAGATAAGGAATCTAATTTAATTATTCCCCCTCAAGGACAGTCCAACGTACTAGCATTTATTATACAGGCCATCCTTTCTCCACTGACTGCCACCTCTGTCTCTTACTAAGTCTTTCTATACATCTGGGTGTGTCTTTGGGTTCTCTATGACGTTCTGGTTGGTAGAACTGTCTATGCCTATGCTGGTTCCACATTGTTTTAATTTCTAAAGCTTGATTTTAGATCTTGGTATCTGACAGGGCAAGTTCATTCTCATGATTCTTTAAGGTTGTATTCATGCTTCTAAAATAAAGTTAGCATTTATTTGTTAGATTTCATGTTGAGATTTTGATTGGAATTCTACTGAATTTAATTAATTTCAGAACAACTGCCATCTTTATGATAGTCTTTCCATTCACTAATATCTTTACTTGGACCTTTTTTTGACTTTCAATTACGATTTGTAATTTTCTAAGTCTTACAAATTATGAACATATTTTGAAATTATATTTTCTAATTGGTTGTTGCTAGTGAAAAGGATTGCTATTAATTTTTATTTGCTTTTTTTCCCCTAGAAACACTGCTGAATTCCTCTACTGATTCTAAGTTCCCTGTAGATTCTCTTGGATTTTCTATATAAGCAGTTGTATTGTTTGTATATGATTATTTTGTTTCTTTGTCACGTTTGCTTTCTATATTTCAAAATCACTTAATTTTTAGTGTGCCAATGATATTCTCTTTTTTTTTTGCACTAATATGAACTTATTCACTTAAAATAGAAAACCTGTAGAAAGGGCAGACATTCTACCTCAGTTCACCAATCTGATCCAACTGTGAATTTACCTGTATAACTTTAAATAATATATTTAAACCTCAATTTCTTGATTTTATCAGGTATCTTATTGCCAGCCCACAGCCATTTACCCTTCTCTTTTTCCTCAATGAAAGGATAGGATTTTTGTTCAGCTGATTATCCCAAATCACATGTCTCAAGGGGCAACCTATGTACCCTAAGCCAATCCTTGCCCGCAGTTGGTTAAGGGTTTATATATGACCATTCAGGCTAGCCAGATGTGTGAAATTTTTTTAAAAAAAGTTTTGGTCCTTTTTCTTTTTTGGAGTGGTAGGGAATAGAAAAGGAGAAGAAAAGATTTCTTGGCTTTTGAAATAAAGATGAGTAGGAAAGAGTCCCCTTTCTCCTGTTAGTTTTGTTTGCATGTGGTATTTGTAACCATGGGAGCCATTTTTCCAGCTGCCAAGGATTACAGAGTAAAAAGACAGAAAGAACCTAAGTCCCTGATAACATTCTGGAGCCTCTGAGGCAACACACCTTGACCTCTCTATTTCGTATCATCTCATTATCGGAGTCAAAATGCTTTTTTAAAATGGTTTTACAACTTTGAATGGATCTTTTTTTCTTTCCTTGTTGCTGAAAGCATCTTAACTGAAATACTGACAGACATAAGCCTTGGCCAGACTTTCTCACAGAAGACTCCAAGTGGACACACATAGAAGTGGACACACACAGAAGACTCCAAGCATTTGCAGAGTAAGAGCCACCATGGACTGAGGACCCCGCTGTTAAAAAGAACTTACAGTCCAGAACCCAAACAGTAGGTCTGGCTGATGAAGCTCATTAGGTAGCAGAGTACCGTCTTACACAGCAGTATAAGCTGTTTTGTGTACTGACATATCTGCAGGCTTAAAATTTTGTATTTCTCTCACTTGATGGATATTTCACTCTGTTGGGCTACCCTGGCCACCAAACTTTGGACATGCCTCCGTAATGTTCACAGGCAGCAACAGGGAGCCAAGTTCAGCTACCTGCAGCCTTATTACATGTGTATCCTTTGCATTGCTACTCTGCTTATCAGCTGCTTTAGGAGGAAATCAAAGTAAAAGCAATTTTTTCCCCAAACTACGTGTGAATGATTATTTCACCCATTCACAAACCTGACTTAGACTGTTGATCTAGCATTGCTCAGTAAGCCTTTAATTTTAGTCAGTATTTACTGACTCTATCCTGTAAAATGAGAAAATCAGCACACCTAGGTTTTCCTCTCCTTTTTGGGGTAGCCCTTAATCACTTACTACCTGCACTGTTATTTCACTTTCTAGGTGTGTATGTTTGGAATGCCCTAAGCTGACTTTAAGTTCTAAAAGTTGCCTGTATCTCTTATTCTTTGTATTCCTCATAGTACCTAGTAGAGTCTCCCCAAATATGTTGTGTGGGCACTATGTTTTGTGAACTATACGCATTTCTTATTCTTGTGCTTTCTATTGAATAATGAATGACAAGTTATAACAAGAAGTAGTTTACCTTCAACTAATACTCAGAACATATTACCAATTCCTTTCTTTCGCTTTTCTTCCCTCTCTTCCCCTAATTCCTTTCTGAGTTCTTTAGTCCACCCCAGCATTTTAAAAATTATTCCTTTCTTTGCTATTCTACCATTAATAATTTTTTCCTATCTCATCTCTTTTTTTCTCTCCCCCTTTCATCACCTTCTTTTTAAGTGGAATGGAAACTCATATTATTTATTTAATAAAATTTCGTAAGAATAGATAGTATTTATTATGTGTTACTGCCCTCCTGGCACTGTGCTAAGATCTTTATATGTACTATCTCATTCAATCCACATACCACCTATGAGGTAGAGGAATTATTTATTTATTTCTTTTATCGGTATAATCAGAAATCAGAGGCTTTAAAAGGGCAAATAATTTGACTGTCAAACCACTTAAGTTAAGGTTAGAACTAGGAGTTGAAACTCGAGCTCTTATAACATTATATAATATTGCCTTTCTAATATAATTTAGTTCTTTCTTTCTCTTCTTTCCTGAATTTGTAACACTCTAGGAAATTGCTTTAAATACTTTAAAGAAAATCCAAAGCAATATGCACAGACAGTTAAAAAAATACAAAAAGGTTAAGAAGAAGCCACAATCTATAGCCCTGGTCCTGCTTCCCAGAGACAATACCCCCCACCCTTTTTTTTAAGTGGGCTCCATGCCCAGTGTGGAGCCCAACACGGGGTTTGAACTCATGACCCTGAGATCAAGACCTGAGCTGAGATTAAGAGTTGGATGCTTAACTGACTGAGCCACCCAGGCACTCCCCAGAGAGAATACTTTTAACCATTTGCTTTTTTGGTTCTTGATGCTTATCTCTGTATTTGCTGCTTATGCAATCTTAAATATTTATGCCATTATACCCACTCATTACCAGTCATGAGAGAGAAGATTTAACTCACCCAACTCCCCAGATCCCCAAACTATCTTTTCCTCCATTCTCCTAATATAATAACATCACTAAGCTTCAATCACTCCAACTTCAAACAACATAAATTTCATTTTCTGTTCCAACAATCATAACAGTATCTCTTGATGCTCTACTTTATAAATTAAGCTATATATTTCTCTTTATTAATTTAATACTAATATGTTCATCCTAAGTACTTTTTATCTCAAAAAACAAAATTAATTGCTTTTAAATTGTGAGTCTCAAAGTACTTTGTTATGAGCTAGCAGTCTTTAACTGAATGAAAATCTCCTTTATCTTATCCTTGCAGACCAAGGATGGTTTTTTGAGTTTTTCATAAAGGTTGTGGGAACACTTCCACCTGACACCTTTATTCTAGCCACTGAGCTGTGTTAGTACGGCGTGAGTTAGCACAGGCCTTTACAAGAGCCACCTGCTAACCAGGACGACTCACCTGCTGTTGCCCCTGCAAGCGCTGCTGAAGCTGAAGCCGCAGCTGGTTGGGCGCAGCTGGAGGTCTGTTCAGAGTCTGCCGGGGTGGCATGCCCATGCCGGGTGAAAAAGCGCCTCGGGGAGGTGTCACTTGGACAGGCATAGTCCCCAATGAAGGTTTTTGCCTGACCATGCCTTGGAAAGGGCTAGAAAGATTGGCAGTAGGTGAAGGAGAAGAATAAGGCTGGGAATAAAGGTTGGGTCTTTCTTCCATCATCAAAGGTGGTGTTGCTTGTTGTGGTGGAAATCTCTCTGATAAGACATCTAATCCACCTCCCTGTTGGAAATTAAGCCAGAACATTTTACAAATAAATTACTGCCAATAAATGACATGCTTCTTTATATAATCTTGGATCTGAGAATATGTTATCTCTAGAAAATTTTATTATAAAATATTATGCTAAATTCATGAAGCTCTCTAGGAGTTTCCTACCTTAAAGGAATCACTTATGACAGTTACTTCTGAAATGGAGTAACAGATGAACTGAGATGTTTAAAAATCTCAGAAAAGAGATAAAAACATGGTTAAAACACAGGCTAAAATCAATGGAATGAAGCTAAAAGGTTTGAAAAGAACTACGCTGCAAAGCTTAAGAGTCAACAAACGTTACATTTAGTAGTTTACCGTGAGAAGTAGATTATTAAAGGAGGGATTAGTTAGGCATTTTTCTATCTCAAATACAGAATTCATGCTTTCCTCTTATTTGGAAAAAAATTCATAGCTGGCCTAACAGAATGCCATAGCTATGGCTTTTAAGACTGATAACTATTATTCATCGTAAAAAATCTAATTTAAATTGTGACCTGGTGTATGTATGTGTGTGCGCACGTGCACATGTGTGTACGTAACTGAAAGGAAAGTTTTATGAAACATAACTTCCCCTTTTTCTGGGCTATGCATTCCGATATATTCTACTACTTAAAAAAATATGGGTCATGAGGCAATAAATTGATTTTTCAACCTCACAGTTTGAAAAAATACCTGGAATTTGGAGTATCATGGAATATACAGGTTGACATCTAGCACGAATGAAGGATAAATTAAGTCCTAGAATAAGAAGTGATGATATAAATCTGGATTCTATTCTAGTGGGAGCCTCTAAGATTCTGGTCCATAGTGAAAGGCTAAGACTTTCTAATTCTAACTATTTCTAATTATTATCACATTTTTGTTTTAAAAAACTCATTATTTAGCTATATTTAATAACTTTCATAAGAGTAAGTTATAAGACTACTTAAACACAGTGAGAACAATATTGAAAAATCTTGCTTAAAAATAATTTTCTAGCTTCTCAGGGTTGTATCATTTTAATAATGTCAATTTTAATAAATACCTGGACGAGTTTGTCAATTCCCAGAGCTCTATCTAGTTCAGCTAGCTCAGTTTCATCTTTGCCGCTGAGGAAGGACACTAGCTGTTCAAGAAGAGCCTTCTCATCATTTCTTCCTTCTACTGTTGTTGGTGGACAGAGAAGCTCATCTAATTGTGAACTAATACACTGGCTAAAGAATCAAAAGATAAAAGAGTTTAAGACTGATATAGCAAATAAGTTTTCAATCTCAATAACACAAATATATATATATGATACACACATATATGCAAATCTTGTTCTAGAAAATTCTGTCGAGATGCTTTTTCAACCAATTCTCACACAGTGAAATGTTCTATACTTATGTGCAGAAATATAAATGTTCTGTATGTAGCTTGAATATATTCTCACTGTTTTGTCAATCACTGAAATTTGCTTCCATATTCTTCCTCTTAGCTTATAGAAACAGCTTGAAAAATTAACTAAACATAGTTAAGAAAGGGAAAAGAATTCTTGATGAAAGTCAAAAATAAAAATCAATCAAAATCTCAGGGAAAAAAAACCATCTAGCCTATAGTAAGATTTATTCTATTTATACTTAACTTTCAAAGATGATCAAATCATATTGATAACATGATTATCACAAAAGAAATCAAACTAGGAAAATGAAACATGCTCAGTGTTAAGCAACAACAACAACAAAAAATGTTGATTACATGAAGGAAATACACAGTCTAATCCAACTGATACCAACTGATGCATAAAAATCAGAAATATATAGAAAATCACACTAGTAATACAAATATAAGGTATCTTCTTTGGAGAAGGTAAGTGGGAATACAGTTCATAGTTAAAGCTCTACACCACACTCGACACTGTCTAGTCATCATTTGGTTGCTATGCATGAGATGTACTCTAATGTTTTGGAATGGAGCTACTTATGTCAATTAAGAAATTAAATTCTAATCAAGATGAGACACTTAGTAGATGTAAAAAGTACTTTCCCTTCTTATACCATCTTGCTCCAAAGAGAAACACTGGACAAAATAACTATATAACAAAAAGCTCAAGAGCTTTTATAATAATTGTTATACTGAGCTCAATTCATTTACAGGTCTCAGAAATTTTATAGTAATCAATCAAAGCAAAGCAAGAGATGAAAAAGAAAACAACTGCTGCATATTATATCAATCTTTTGGTAATTACAATACATACTAGCCTTGCAGTCACACAGTAAATTAATCTGTTTAATGTGGTGTCTTCCTCCATCCCCCTTTTTTTCATTAAACATTCACTTCTACTACTATCTCACAAAATACCAATGTAGGCTGGAATCCTGTTTGGGAAAATAGTTCTTTGTTGTAGAAGTTGATATCTGATATTTTATAAAATAGGAAATGTATTACTCACTCTTCTGGTTTATTCTGATTTACAGCAGTCACTGTATTATTTGCCCATGGAATCTGATCACCTGTTCCTGGCTGTCCAAATTGGTTATCAATTGCTTCCAATTCCAGCTCCGGCAATCCTGATTACAGAAGAAAAGGTAAGAAGTCAGTATCATAGTGGAAGATAAAATGACCGTATTTTTCAGAAGCAATATATTGTATAGGAGAATGAGATTTCCCCTATAAAATATATTTCAGTGATACAAAGGTCCCTTATTCAGAAACTTAACTGCCTAGAACGTGGCTACATCATAACCAGTGAGAAAGTTAAGAAAAAGTACTCTGAACCAAAGACAATCTGATGTAAAAAAAAAGTTTGCACATAAGTTGATGTTACCATAAGGAGAATCACTCAGAACTTTGTCAGAAATTATTTTTTTATTTTTATGTTTTAGATCTTATTTTTGAGTAATCTCTATACCCAACGTGGGGCTCGAACTCACAATCCTGAGATCAACAGTCACATGCTCCACCGAAGGAGCCATCCAGGCGCCGCCAGAAATGATTTCTTTTAAAGACAAATTATAACAATTTCAGTTAACTGCTTTTTCAGTCTGTAGGACATTAGAATCTGCTATAGGTAGGGACA